CTATGCATTCAAATTCAACGAGGCCCTTATAATCAATGCCATATTTGCATAAGAAAATAAAGTGTGGTTCATCTGGAAATATTTCTTCTTTAAGAATTTCTTTGGAGCTAAAAATCATAGTCAAGAGGGAAAAAATAAGTCCTAAATCTCTTCTGTAGTAATTACATACGCTCTTTAAAGAAGCCTAAGAATGAACATTTTACAATAAATTGTACTGTTTTCATTGCATTATGCAAATTAAATGACAACTTGTCATTTAAGAAGTTAATAAACAGTCACCGTTTTGCAGGTTATCCAAATGCTACTGAATAGACAACCTTGGATCCCTAAATGATGTGTAATTAAAATTATTTTTAAAATCCTCTTTGACAGGCCTGGGCTTAGCCAAAAAGTAAATGACATTAAAGAAGACAATGAATTTAATTTTATTTAATGTCCCTTTTTGCAGATCCTCATTTACATAGCATTTTTTAACAAAAGCCTTGACCTTATAAATGCTGGCATTTGTACAGCTTCTGCAGAGTTGGATTTAATCATGCTTTCACAAAGCCATGAGGGAAAAGCTTTAAGTTCTCTGGTTGGATATGGAGTAGGAATAAAAACATTGGGACTGGTCAAATGTTTATCCTCCTTGCTTCTGAAAACAACCTGACAAGAAGATGTAAGGGTCTAGGGAATAACCCATTGCTGTTTGTAAGGCTTGGTAATAATCATACATAATCGTTTGGAAATATAGCTAATAAAAAATATAATGAGTGTTCAGCAAAATCGGCATTAGGCCCAAATTACATGATATTAATACTTGAACAGGTGCAGAAAGGCTCTTTAAATGAGGTAAATGAATAAAATGTCCCAGAGCACAACTGTGTGCACTGACAAAAAGTCAATCGCATGAATAATTCAGTGACTAGGACTGCCAGCAAAGGTCAGCTTTCTTTGACCTTTGTGACAGGAAGTGAAAGGAAACACTGTTGACTAAAAAAATAAAAAAAATAAAAGGACCCCTTCCAATCAGTCTTCAACTACCATTCTGCAATTACTTTAAAGGCACAAACTTTAGCGACAAATGAAATAAAGCTATTTCTTCCTAATCTATCTTGGTCATTCTTCCACTGTTCTAAAAAAATAAATAAATGTAGAGGTCATAAAATTTTGCCTCTCAATCAAACACAACGCGAAAACAAGAAGTTAGACAAAGACAATGAAAGGTTAAACTACAGAGAAGCGTTTTCCCCCCCTGGAAACAATGTCAATTATGTATAAAATCTGAGGTCATCTAAAAAATATTTTAAGAGCCCACAGAGCTGAAAGTTTGAAACAGCTGTTAAATATGACAAAACTTCTGTACCCCCACCCCCCCACCCTCCAAAAAAGGCTAAATCTATTCCAAACTCTGTATAGAAGAAAATGGGATAAACAGATGTCTGGCTTTTATACAGAAAAGTAGAACACACTTGGAATTATAAGTCTTCTTAACTCTATAGAATAATGCCAGATTTATAGAGGAGGGAGAGTATTTACTACCCACAGAAATGCCAACTAGCAGTACAACTGTGATAATACCATCTGGAAAAATGATGCCAGGCATGCTCTCAGCAACACTTTGCAAGTTCATTCCATACGCACGGGCAGATCTGCCATTGTTTTACTAACAAGTTGCTTCTTAATGGGATTGTAGTTTGTCCTTCTCTATTCCTTCCTAATCAGCTGCTGCAGTGTTCAACAGTTGAATACTGTGATCTCATATAGATTCTAGCCAAACAAGAAAAGGAAAAGTCAAAAAGGGGTCTTTTACCAGGAATTTCCATAACTTCATGTAAAATATTATGGTGGCAGAAAAGAATTATTTTAGCACACAGTGTGGTTTTGGTTTAGCAGTTACAGCGGTATCCTGTAATCATTTATAGGCAGTGGAATGTATGAGTGAAATAGGATAGATTTATCTCTTCATAGTTGTGATATGTAGACAATGGGTGTTCCTAATGAGGAACATCTGCTTTTGTGCTCGCCCAGAAAACATTATTCCACTATGAAAATGATACTCCTATCCTTTTCAGCAGGCCTACATAAAAATAAGTCATTTTCTTTTATTTGTCTTTCTTTGGGGCAGTTTTATTTCCCATGGAGACTTTTCGGAGGCATCCCTTTGACTTGAATTACTTTATAGTATTATTTTTGAGGACTGTATCTGTTACATGGATTGCATAATTGTAAAGACAAAGCAGTGTCCAAAATTGTAATAATTGAAAACGTATTCTTAAGAATGTTTTTAGCAGAAAAATACCCCCCAAAAAAAGTCTAAGGGGGAAGGGAGATAAGTACTGAATACTTTATATAGTGTGGAATTTTAAAACTCTGATAAAAATATTTTTATTTTCTTTATTTTATCATATTAATGTGAAATACTTGATTTACAGGTATATGTATGTGAAATATTTGATTTACAGGTATATGTATGACTTCTGTATGTATGATTCCCTGTTACCAAGATAAAACAGTAACTGTTAGAAAATATAGATAGTACCTATTTCCTATCTATTCTATTATAACATTATCTAAAACAGGTTGTGGTTTCATC